GGCGACGCACGGGGTAGCTGTGACTGCGACTGGACAGGCGGAGGACACTATAAGGAGGGAGCAGGACAAGGAGGAGGCGGCTGACCAAGAACCTGCCGGAGGAGTGGCACAAAGTACGGTCGCGGCCGTGTAGTGCCCCCAAAACCAGTAGAGACAGCACTAGAACCTCCAGCAGCAGCTCCAACTCCTGTAGCACCATCGGTAGCTCCAATACCTCCAGTAGCACCAGCAACTCCAGTACCCCCAGCAATACCACCAGCACCTCCAGGACCACTGGCTCCAGCACCTCCAGTGCCGACCCCAGGGTCACCAGCAACACCACCTCCAGTAGGCACAACGCCCTCAGCTCCAGCTCCAGTAGCACCACAGAGGCGGCGATAGTACCGAGAGTACCACTCACTCAGCTGCTGGGAAGAGAGAGCGCCCTCAGGCGCAGTGCCCCCAGGCTCAGGACCTCCACACTCAGCACTCCCAGGGACAGCACCCCCAGGCTCAGCACCAGCAGTCTCTGCACCCCCAGGCTCAGCACCCGCAGTCTCTGCACCCCCAGGCTCAGCACTCGCAGTCTCAGTACCCCCAGACCCAGCACCACCAGGCTCAGCACGCTCAGGCTCAACACGCTCAATACCTTGCGGAGGACCAGAGCCGACAGCTACCTCGACAGGCTCGACCGGGTCTACCTGGGAAACACCTTAGGGAGCAGGACTCTGGGGAGGCAGGGGGTCTACCAAAGTAGCACTTGGCATGAGGAAGAGCGGCGGGGGGGGGGGGGGGAGCGGGGCAGTGCGGTAGGGGAAGAGACGGTAGTAGGGGACCGACTCGTCAAAAGTGACGTCCTGAGAGGCGAAGACCCGGCGCGAGGTGGGGTGGTAAAACTGCCAGCCAGGCGCGTCAAGGACAAAGCCAAGGAAGACACAGGGAGCAGCGTGGGCGGAGAGCTTGTCCGCGGACGTATTGCGGACAAAGGCACGAGATCCCCCGACCCGGAACACAGACGCATCGCCAACCTCTCCCGTCCAACGCAGCATCGGCGAGGTCTTCGGAACGGGGACATGGGGCCAGAGGTTGAGCTGATGCGCGGCGTAGTGGATCGCAAACGGCCACAAAAAATGGGGGGGCAGCCGCATGGACCAAGGAGGTATGAGCGACTTCCATGACCAAGCCAATGCGGCGCTCAGCAACCCCATTCTGCTGAGGAGAGTTCGGAAGCGTGAACGTCTGGCGAATGCCCTTCCCCTGACAGAAGGTCTCCAAGAGACCGGAGGAAAACTCACCACCTCTGTCAGAGTGGAGTCGCAGGACGGGAAGGTCCGTGCGAAAGCGCCTCTCCAACTGGAGACGGGTAGCGCGGATCCAAGGGATCAAAACAGCACGGACCTCTCCCTTGGTGCGCAAGGGGAAGACCATGGTGTAACGCGTGTAGTCGTCAACAACCAGCATGAAGTAGAGCTCTCCTCCCTGTCCACAGACTCGGGCTGGGCTCCATACATCCATGTGCAGGGTCTGCAGAGGGGCCTCCGTCGGGGGAAACTCAGAGGAGTGAGGGGTGGCACGCTGCCGCCCCTCGACAGAGGGAAGGCAGGGAGGGGCAGGGGACAGTGGCAGGGGAGGCAGTGACCTGGGAAGACCAGAGACAAGGTAACGGGAGCGCATGCCACGAAGGCGCTGCATCAAAGGGTGCCCAAGGCGGTGGTGCCAGAGGACCGTTCGGTGCAACAGGGTGCGTCACAAGCAGGGGGCGGACAACTGACCTGACGCAGCTACTTGAGGGGACTCAGTGGCCAGGGTGTACAAGTCTGACCCCTGCTACCGAGTGAAGGTAGCCAGGTGTCGACCCGTGTGGGCACACGTGTAGTGTGTCACACCCTCGTAGGCAGGGGTAAATTGGTGAACACCCGCATCCTGGAGCGCGGAACCCTTCACCTGGTTTGTAGAGAACGAGGGGAGGTAAAGGCCCGCCAGGGTGCCGGACGGGACAAAAGGACAAGGGAGGGCAATGGTGGAGGTAGCAAGGACCGGACCCCCGGAGGGGTCAGCCAGGGAGACAGCAACCGGCCTAGGGAGCTGCTCTAGGGCAGTGCGGTCGCGAAAGAAACAGCGAGAAGCACCAGAGTCCAGTGTGAAGGTGTGTACTACCTCAGTAGACGCAGTACCTGAAAGCGCAGACTCACAAGTACCTGACATTGCAGACACCCGTGCACCTAGAGCAACAGCCTCACTAGGACCTGGGGCAGCAGAGACACTGGCACCTAGAGCGGCAGCCTCACTGGTCGCAATGCCTGGGTCTGGTGGCACACACAAGTAACAATCACCCTCAACACTTGGCTCCAAGGATGATATCAAAGTCAAGTGCAAAGACATCAATGTTCTTTTTAAGCCAGATCAGCCCAGCGGGGCAGCTCAGAGGCCTCAGGGAACTGTGCACGCCAGGCGTCATCGAGACAGAAGAAGCAGCGCTGTGGCGTGTGGAACCTCCCACACGTCTGAACAGCGCGGTCACCTGTGCGGATGACATACGTGCAGGTACCCCCGCCCCCAGACCCGCCATGCTGAGAGTACCACTCACGAAGCTGGTGGGACGACGGGGTCTCTCCAAGACGCTGCTACTGGCACTGGACACCACCCGAGCCTCCACGCTACGCCAGTCCACCCCGACCACCACCCGAGCCGCCACCCCCACGCCTACTGCCTCCACCACCACCATCTCCACCCTGGCCTCCTCCACCACCTTTGCCGCCACCACCCCCGCCGCTGCCACCCACCCCCCCAGCCCCGCTACTACCCCCACCACCGCCACCATTCCCACCGCCCCCACCGCCGCCACCTCCACCTCCACCTCCACCCCCCCCGCTAGCACCACCACCACCCTTGCCCCCCTTGCCCTTGCCGCCCTTGCGCCTCGAGCTAGGAGCAGACGCAGCCCCGACTTCCTCAGCACCAAGGAAGTCGACAGCGGCAGCAAAGGCAACCGAGGGGAGAAGGGGGGGAGGGGAACATCCGTCAAAGAAGGGCGTACGGGGGTCGCCACGAGAGGCACCTACATCAACTATGCTTGACTCAGCTGCAAGCAGATGCTTCTCGAGGAGGTCAATGGTGAGCTCGGTGGGGCAGAGGGCGAGAAAGTGGTCCCTGACTGCGCGAAGAGAGTCAAGGAGACGAGTGACTAGGCGGTAGAGAACGAGGTACATCGGGGGGGGGGGGGGTTCTTGGCAAGGAGCTCAGCAAGAAGGGCGGCTCGGTAGCGAGTGTCACTAGTGCGGAGGTGGGTAATGAGGTCAGCGACAGTGGGAAAGGCGGCGAGGTCGGGGAAAAGATAGGGCAGCGAGAGACGGCCTATCGTAGCAAAGGCAGGCGAGGAGTAGCGAGCGACGATTGCATTGTACAGTGCCTTAGCAGTCTTATGCTGGCCGAAGTGTGCGCGCTCATCTTACGGCAGGTGGCTGCGAATGGCTAGGCGAGCGTGGGCGTCACGAGTCTGCCACTAGGAGCGAGCTGTACTGTCAGCACTGTCAGGAGGTGCTAGAGCGGTTCTAGACGCATGGTTATACAGCGAGACATCATCCTTAGCAGTGATCTGGAGGAAGAGGTGGAGATCGTCGAGCCAGGCATCAAACTGGAGCGGACGGCCCTCAGCATCGAAAGAGAGAACTATGGGTGTAGCTATAGTGGCAGCAGTAGCAGTAGCAGTAAAAGCAGTAGTAGGAGCAGGTGTAGTAGTAAGGACAGTTGTAACAGCAGGAACAGGAACAGCAGTTGCTGCAGGTGGGGCGGCGCGGCTCGGTCAGGGCGGCGCGACTCGGGCGGCGCGGTTTGGGCAGGATTGCGCGGCGCGGCTTGGCAGAGAGGGTGGGCCGGCGCACGGGTCGAGGTGGCGGCCTACGGGCTGGCTGTGGCCTACGCGTAGGCAATGACCTACGCACGAGCGGCGGCCTGCAAGGGCGAGGTGGCGGCGCGCGCATGTCGACGGGCAGCTGGCGAGCTGCTCTAGAGGCCCCGCGAGGCCAGGGCAGGCTACGTCGACGGCGTGGGCGGCTAGGGGGGGGGGGGGGGGGGGGGTTGTCAAACATTATAAATGTTGTTGTGTTTGTTTAGGCTACAGTGGGTTAGCCTATAGGGGGCACACAATTCTAGGGTTAGGTACTTGTACTGTTTTCACTGCTAGTTCATCCATTCTTGTTCCGTTATTTCAACATGGTATAGAGCAGGTCCTTCCTAGGACCGAATTTTTTAAGGGCCCACCACTACCTACCTAACTACCTACCTACCTACCTGCGCCCTAGGGCGCCTCGGTTTTTTTCACGGCCACCTAAGGCCCCGACGGCCCGCCCCTAGAGGCCCCGAACGGCCCACGCGCTCGCCCCTAGCGCCCCCCTTTTGGCCCCGCGATCTCCCCTAGAGGCCCCGTCGGCCCCGCGCTTACCTCCCTAGAGGCCCAGAACGGCCCCGTCGGCCCCGCGCTCACCTCCCTAGAGGCCCCGAACGGCCCCGTCGGCCCCTAGAGGCCCCCTTGACGGCCCCGCATTGACCTCCCTAGCGGCCCTGAACGGCCCCGTCGGCGCCTAAGAGGCCCCGATAAGGCCCCGCGCTCACCTCCCTAGCGGCCGCGAACGGCCCCGTCGGTCCCTAGAGGCCCCGTTAAGGCCCCGAACGACCCCGCGCTCACCTCCCTAAGGCCCCGAACGGCCCCGTCGGCCCCACGCCCACCGTCCCTAGAGGTCCCAAACGGCCCCGCGCCCACCGCCCCTAGAGACCCCGAGCGGCCCGTTACCGCCACAGCCCGGGACCGAACCGAGCCGCGCGGGACCAAACTAAGCCGCGCGACCGAACCGAGCCGCGCAACCCAAGCCAAGCCGCGCGACCCGAGCCGAGCCGCGCGAACCTAGCCGAGCCGCGCGACCCGACCTGAACCGAGCCGCCCCACCCGAGCCGCGCCGCCGTGCCCGAACCGAGCCGCCCTAACTGCTTCTACTACTGCTACTGCTGCTACTTCTACTGCTCCTATGGCTAGCCCACAGGTTCTAGTTTTCGATGCTGAGGGCCGCCCAGTGAAGTTTGACACCTGGCTCGATGACCTGCACCTCTACCTACAGCTCACAGCCAAGGACGACATCTCACTGTACGACCACGCCCTAGGCCATATCACTGCCCCTGCTGCTACTGCTGACAGCACTGCTCGCTCACAGTGGCAGACTCGTGATGCCCACGCTCGCTTTGCTATTCCCAACTCCCTGCCGATAGACGAACGCGAGCACTTTGGCCAGCACAAGACTGCACAGGCATTGTACACAGCTGTCGTTGCTCGCTACTCCTCACCTGCCTCTGCCGCGCTAGGCCGTCTCTCCCTCCCCTACCTGTTTCCCGACCTGGCCTCGTTCCACACAGTCGCTGACCTCATCACGCACCTCCGTACTAGTGAGGCCCGCTTCCGTGCCGCCATGCGTGTTGAGTTCCTTGCCACGCACCCCCCCCCCCCCCCCCACTCTGGCTCACTCTCTACCACCTGGTCATCCGCCTCCCTGACACTCTGCGTGCTGTCAGGGACCACTTGCTCGCTCGCTGCCCCACTGAGCTCACCACTGCCCTCCTCGAGAAGGAACTGCTTGCAGCTGAGACTAGCATAGTCGCTGTAGGTGCCTCTCGTGGCGATCCCCGTACCCCGTTCTTTCAGGGGTGTTCTCCTTCCCCCATTCTTCCCTCTGTCGCCTCTGCTGCTGTTGTCGACCTCCTTGGTGCTGAGAAGGTCGGTACTGCATCTGCTTTGAGCGAGCGCCGCGGCGGCAAGGGCAAAGGGGGCAAGGGTGGTGGCGGTGACGGCGGGGGAGGCGGTAGTGGAGGCGGTGGAGGCGGTGGGGGTGGTGGCGCGACTCGAGGGGCTAGTGGCAGCGGTGGGGGTGGTGGCGGCAGCGGCGGGGGAGGTGGGAGGGGCGGAGGCGGTGGTTGGGGTGGCGGTGGACGAGGCGGTGGCCGGGGTTGGGGTGGTCGAGGAGGTGGTGGCGGCGGTGGTGGTCGTGGAGGCGCTGGCGTTGGCCAAGGCCACCAGCACACTCCGTCACCCCAGGAGGTCCGTGAGTGGTACTCTCTGCACGGGGGGGGGGGAAGGGGGGGGGGGGGGGTGTCCTTAGCTGCACGTACGTTATTCACACTGGTGACCGCATTGGTCAGCAGTGTGGACGACCGCACTCCACACAGCGCTGCTTTGCTCGTCTTGACGACTCTTGACGTGTTCAGTTCCCTCAGGCCACTGAGCTGCCTCGCTGGATTGATCTCCTGAAGAAGGGGATTGATATCTATGCTCTAGACTTTGATGCTATTCTATCTGCTATGTATGTGATGTCTACTAGTGGAGAGGGTGCTGAGTACCTGTGTGTGCCGCCCGACCCGGGCATTAGGACTAGTGCGTCTGCCGCTCCAGGTACTTGCGTGCCGGCTACCCCAGGTGCTGGTGAGGCAGCTGCTCTAGGTGCTTGTGCGTCTGCCCCCCTTGGTACTGAGTCGACTGCAGCACTGCACACCTTCACACTGGACTCAGGTGCTTCTCGCTGTTTCTTTTGTGACCGCACTGCCCTTGAGCCGCTCGCTCGGCCAGTTGCTGTCTCCCTTGCTGACCCCTCTGGGGGTCCGGTCATTGCGACCTCTTCCATTGTCCTTCCCTGTCCTGCGGTCCCGTCGGGCACACTGTCAGGTCTCCACCTCCCCTTGTTCTCTACGAACTTGGTGGCAGGATGTGCGCTCCAGGACGGGGGTGTTCACGAGTACATCCCTGCCTACGAGCGCGTGACACACTGTACGTGTGCTCGTACGGGCCGTCACTTGGCTACCTTCACTCGGCAGCCGGGGTCGGACCTGTACACACTGACTACTGAGTCCCCTCAGGTTGCTGCGTCTGCGTCCGCGTCAGGTCAGCTGTTGGCCCCCTGCTCGTGTCGCGCTCGGGCGCACGAGACTGTCCTCTGGCACCACCGCCTTGGCCACCCGTCTGTGCAGTGGCTTCGTGCCATGCACTCCCGGTACCTTGTCTCTTGCGTGTCCAGGTTCCTTCCTCCCCTCCCACCCTCACCTGCTCCTACCTGTCTCCCTTGTGTCGAGGGACGGCAGCGCGCTGCTCCTCACTCCTCCTCGTTTCCCCCGACGACTGCTCCCTTGCAGACGCTCCACATGGAGGTGTGGGGCCCAGCCCACGTGCGTGGTCAGGGTCAAGAGAGGTACTTCCTGATAGTTGTTGATGACTACTCGCGCTACACCTCGGTCTTCCCCTTGCGCACCAAGGGTGAGGTCCCTGATGTCTTGATCCCTTGGATCCGCAGAGCCCGTCTCCAGCTCAGCGAGCGTTATCACTAGGACTTTCCTGTCCTGCGCTTGCACTCTGACAGAGGTGGTGAGTTCTCCTCCGACCTCTAGGCCGCCTACTGTGCTAAGCACGACATTGAGCAGTCGTTCACGCTTCCGGCCTCTCCACAGCAGAATGGGGTTGCGGAGCGCCGCATTGGCCTGGTCATGGAGGTCGCCCGTACCTCCTTGATCCATGCGGCTGCCCCCCACTTTCTGTGGCCGTTTGCGGTCCGGTACGCTGCGCATCAGCTCAACCTCTGGCCCCGTGTCTCCTTGCCGGAGACCTCGCCCACACTTCTGTGGACGGGGGAGGTTGGCGATGCGTCACGTTTCCGGGTCTGGGGATTTCGAGCTTTTGTCCGCGATACGTCTGCGGACAAGTTCTCCTCCCGTGCTGTTCCCAGCTTCGTCCTTGGCTTTGTCCCGGACGCGTCTGGTTGGCAGTTTTACCACGCCACCTTGCGCCGAGTCTTGCCCTCTCAGGACGTCACTTTTGACAAGTCCGTCCCCTACTACCACCTCTTCCCCTACCGCACTGCCCCGCTCCCCCCCCCCCCCCCCGCCTTTCTTTCTCGCGCCAGGTGCTATTGTTGTAGACCCCCTCCCCCCTCAGGGTGCCGCTCCCTCAGCTGTGTCTCAGGAAGACCCGGTTGAGCCTGCTGAGGTAGTTGTCGACTCTCGTCCTGCTGGGGGTGCTGAGTCTGGGGGTGCCGGGACTGGGGGTGCTGAGCCTGGGGGTGCGGAGCCTGTGGGTGCGGAGCTTGGGGGTACTGAGCTTGGGGGTGCTGAGCTACTGGGTGCTGAGCAGCAGAGTCCGGAGTCTGGGGGTTCTGAGTCTGGAGGTACTGAGCTTGGGAGTCCTACTCCTTGAAGCAGCTGCGTGAGTGGTACTTACAGTACTGCAAGGCACCTCTGGAGCCGAGCGTGCTACTGGTATTGGTGCTGGTACTTCTCCTCCTAGTCGGGAGCTCCCCTCCCGTGAGCGGATCCGTGAGTGGTACGAGTGGCGCTGCACTCTCCGGAGTGGCGGGCCTCGTGTCGCGGACCCCGCTGCTGTTGAAGCTGCTGCTGGTGCTGAGGACCCGGGTGTTCGAGCTGCTGCTGGTGTAACAGACCCAGGTGTTGGAGCTGCTGCTGGTGTTGCGGACCTGGGCGTTAGAGCTGCTGCTCGTGCTACGGACCCAGGTGTTGGAGCTGCTGCTGGGGCTGCGGACCCAGGCATTGGAGCTACTGCTGGTGCTGAGGACCTGGGTGTTGGAGCTGCTGCTGGTGCTGCGGACCCGGGCATTGGAGCTACTGCAAGTGCTGGGGACCCGGGCGTTGGAGCTGCTGCTGGTGCTGAGGACCCTGGTGCGTGTGTCTCTACTGTTTCTGGTGTCGCTGCACAGCCGCGGCCGTACTTCGTTCCGCTACTTCACCAGGTTCTAGGTTCGCTCCCTTCTCTGTGTCCTCCTCCCTCCTTAGGGTGTCCTCCGTCTGCACAGCTGCCGTCACAGCTACCGTCTGCCTCCTCTCTCCTTGGTACTGCTCCTTACACTGGTCGGACTGGAGGTCTTACTGAGCGTCGTAAGCCTGAGTCTTGTCCTGCGTCGCCTCTCCGTGCTGCTCTCACTGGTAGTCGTTTCCAGCGTCAGCGTCTTCCTGCTGTCCCAGGCACTCACTGGATGGCGCTTCGTCCGTCCACTGCTCCACAGCGTGTCCCACGGCCGTCTCCTCCTGCTTCCTCTCTTCCTGCTCTTGCTAACCCTGGGTCAGACTCCCTTCGTGCTCCCAGTCCTACTGTCACGCGTCTCCTGGCTACTGTTGTCACTGACCCTTTCTTTGAGTCCGCTGCTGCGTCTGCCTTAGTTTCCGAGCTTGTTGACTTTGCTGCCACCTGTCGTCTAGACTACGCTGCTAGCTTGGTTGCTGAGTCTGAGTCTGTCTATCCTCCGTCCGTCTGGGGTGAGTGTGCTCTTGGCACTGACGTCCTTGAGGACAGGCAGGAGGAGTTTGAGTGCTTTGCTGCCGCTTTACCCCATCTCGTGTCCATGCTTGTTGCCCCTGAGGGAGACCCGGATGCCCCAGCACTGCTTTCCTACAGGGCAGCCTGCACGAGGAGATGTGGATGCATCGTCCACCTGGCTTCACTGGGTCGTTCACTCCTGGTACCCATTGGAGCCTCCAACGGCCAGTCTATGGTCTCCGCCAGGCGCCACGTGAGTGGCATGACACACTGAGGACTACACTTGCGGCTCTTAGGTTCGCGCCTTCTACTGCTGACCCGTCGCTGTTTCTACGCACCGACACCTCACTGCCGCCGTTCTACATCCTCGTGTACGTCGACGACTTGGTCTTTGCCACTGCTGATACTGCGGCACTCGCCCACGTGAAGTCAGAGCTGCAGAAGAGACACACATGTACAGACCTGAGTGAAATGACAAGCTATCTTGGCTTGCGGATCACCCGGGACAGAGCACGCCGCACCATCACCTTGACTTAGTCACACATGGTGCAGCAGGTCCTTCAGCGCTTCTGCTTCACGTACTTCTCGCCTGAGCCCACTCCTCTGCCTACCGGTCACTCACTCTCAGCTCTGCCTTCGGATGAGTCCGTAGAGCCGAGTGGCCCGTATCTAGAGCTTGTGGGTTGCCTCATGTACCTGATGACATGCACTCGACCTGACCTTGCATACCCTCTTAGCATTCTTGCACGCTATGTCGCTCCCGGCCGTCAACGGAAGGAGCACATGGATGCAGCTAAGAGGGTGTTGCGCTACCTGTGTAGTACGTCAGGCATAGGGCTAGTGCTTGGAGGGCGAGTCCCAGTTGTTCTCACTGGGCACTCAGACGCTTCTTGGGCAGATGACCAGGCTACTCAGCGGTTGTCTCAGGGTTACTCCTTTAGTCTTGGCTCTGGTTCAGTTTTTTGGCGTTCTACTCGCTCTTCTTCTGTTCTCAGCTCTAGTTGTGAGGCTGAGATCTACGCCACAGCCATGGCGGCTCAGGAGCTACGCTGGCTCACCTACTTGCTGACCGACCTTGGAGAGCAGCCTCGTTCTCCTCCAGTGCTGTACATAGACAACAAGGCAGCCATTGCCTTGTGTCAGGAGCACAGACTGTAGCACAGAACGAAGCACATTCTTTAGCGCTACTTCCTTGCTCAAGAGCTGCAGCAGCATTGTCAACTTCGCCTGCGTTACGTGGCCTCTGAGGCCAACACTGCTGATGTGTTCACCAAGGCGCTTCAGCCTTGTGACCATCAGCGCTTTTGCACTCTTCTAGGCCTTGTGCCTACTGTACCTCACTTGCTTACTTCTTGAGTATGTTTGTACTGTGATCTCTTTATATGTATACCTGCATGTCTACTCTTGCTAGGTTGTGATCATTGTACCTCTTGTTCTATTATAAACGTGCATGTGAACTGGTCTTGTGACCACTTGCTTGTGCTCGGAATTTGTGTGGAGATCCACCCTGAGCTTGTTTTGCCTTGCTTTGCCTTGACTGGTCTTGTGACCCTTAGTTCTCCCCCACTTTGCCTATGGGGGTGTGTCAAACATTATATATGTTGTTGTGTTTGTTTAGGCTACAGTGGGTTAGCCTATAGGGGGTACACAATTCTAGGGTTAGGTACTTGTACTGTTTTCACTGCTAGTTCATCCATTCCTGTTCCGTTATTTCAACAGGGGTCGCGCACACTAGAAGGAGGCCACGCGAGGGCGGCTAACAGGCTGCGTGGGGAAAAAACGAGGCCACGCGCGGGCAAAAAACAGGCCGCGCGCGGGCTTCTAGTGGGCTACGCGACGAGACAGCGAGGCGCGCGAGGGCGCACGAACAGCGAGGCGCACGAGGGCGCTAAAGTGAGAAGGCGCTCGAGGGCGCTAGCGGAAGGACGCGCCCTTAGTAACATGTGGTCCTAGGTTCCTAACCTAGACTCCCGATGCCATGTTAGAATGAGAAGGATTGATTGAACTAGGAAGATTAAGAGTACAAGTAGGAAAACCTAGAATTGTGTACCCCCTAAGGCTAAACCCACTATAACATATATAATGTTTAACAGTTAGGGTTTGTTATATGTACCCCAACCCACATCAATGAACCAACACTTTCGTTCTTGACATGGTATCACCTAGGTTAGGATCCTGTGGGATCCCGTTCGTCTCGTTCACGTCTGTTGCGCCCGAGCCTGTCCCGTACCCTAGTGCCTGTTACGCTCGTACTATTCCCTAGCACCTATCGCGCCTGTCGCTCTCGTGCCCTAGCACCCACTGCGCCTACCGTTGCGTCGCTCTTGTGCCCTAGCGCCTGCTGCGCCTGCCGTTACGTCGCTCCAACCGTCCCGCCGCGTCACGCTGTCCGTTTGTGTCGCGCCGTCCGTCCCGTCTCGTCCGTTCGTGTCACGCTGCCCGTCCGCGTTGCGCTGCCTGTCCGCGTCGCGCCGCCCGTCCCGTTCCGTCCATCCGCGTCCCGCTGCCCGTCTGTCCCGTCCCGTCCGTCCGCGTCGCGCTGCTTGTCCGTCCCGGCCCGTCCGTCCGCGTCGCGCTGCCCGTCCGCCCCGTCCCGTCCGTCCGCGTCGCGCTGCCGGTCCGCGTCGTGCAGTCCTTCCCGTCCCTTCACGTCGTGTCGCGCTGCCCATCCGCCTCGCGCAGTGCATCACGTCCCGTCGCGTTGCGTCGCGCTGCCCGTCTTGTCCCGCTGCATGGCGTCGTGCTACCCCTGCCCGTGGCGCTACGCCCTCCTAGTCCAGCAATGCTGCGCCCTACTCCGTATCTCGTAGCGCCCTACCCTATGTCCACTAGCGCCCTACAGAGTCGCTCTCAGTGATAAGGGTTTCAGCAGCAGCACTTCCCACCTCTTTGCTTTTGCTATGGTGACTAATGAGAAACGAGAATGATTGAAATATGAAAGAGTTGGGTACAAGTACTAATCCTAATTGGGTTGTACCCCTTGTGGGCTACCCCACTACAGCCTACACAAATGTATAAGCTATAATGTTCTAACACACCCCCATAGGCAAAGTGGGGGAGAACAAGTGGTCACAAGACCAGTCAAGCAAAGCAAAGCAAGCTCAAGGTGGATCACAAAGTCACCACAAAGTCCGAGCACAAGAGTAAGGCCACAAGGCCAGTTCACATGCAAGATGATATATATAAAGGTAAACAAGCAAGTGCAGGTTTAGAAAGAGTACAGTACAAACAAGATCAAGAAGTGAGCAAGTGAGGCCAGGTAGGCACAAGACCTAGCAAAGTACAGAAGCGCTGATGATCACAAGGCGGAAGGGCCTTGGTGAAGATATCAGCAGTGTTGGCCTCAGAGGCCACGTACGCAAGACAGAGCTGACCACGCTGCTGCAGCTCACGAGCGAGGAAGAAGCGGAGAGCAATGTGCTTCGTTCTGTGCTCCAGTCTGTGCTTGCGACACAAGGCCAGCATGGCATTGTTGTCTACGTACAGAATTGGAGGAGAACCAGGCTGCTCTCCTAGGTCAGTCAGCAGGTAGGTGAGCCAGCGTAGCTCCTGTGCAGCCATGGCCCCTCCGTAGATCTCAGCCTCACAACTGGAGCTGAGAATTGAAGACGAGCGGGTAGACCGCCACGAAATAGAGCCGGAGCCAAGGCTGAAGGTGAAACCCTGTGACGACCACTACACAGCCTAGTTGTCAGCCCACGAAGCGTCA